TTAACTTCACTTACAAGCACAGATTATTCTCTTGTTCTGTTTTTCGTTACCTTTAAATAGTAAACTTTGCAGCAAGAAAACTGCAATACAACTTTCAACTTTGTTTAATTTATTTAACACTATGTTTGATTGGACAACAGAGAAAAGAGGATAAAACAGAGGAAAGTTATTGTTATATTTGCTACAAATGATGGAAAATGAAAGAAACGCAAGTATAGAATAAAACAGAACAATTAGTTCAAATTCCATGATAGTTTTCTTTTCATTTTTCTCTGATTTATGAAATATTGGATTTCTTGGATGTAAAGTTGCATAAATCTATTCATTTTCCTTTCCATTTTTTTTTTAATGAAAAATTAGTGATATTTTTTTGTCCTCATCTTTGCTTCGAACTATTTCATTCCTTCATCTTTTTCTTCCAAAGAACAACAATGTTTTACAGAAATCATAGTTAAAAAAAAAAAGAGATAAATGATTTTGCCCTTCTTTCTTAAGAAGCTTTACAACAACAATCAAATTCAAAGATTTGTGCTAAAAGTTTTTGGAAGGTTTCTGACTTCGAAGGAAAGCAAATTTATTTAAAAGTGCCTATAATTTTTACAGCATGTCCCAACTTATACGATTGCAAATGAAATGACTGGATTCGGAGCATTCATGTTGGAAGGTGTGCTTGCATTCACATTGGTATACACCATTTATGCTGCTGGTGACCCTAGAGCTCGTCCATTTGGGACCGTTGAACCCTTGGCAGTAGGATTGACGGTAGGAGCCATGGTCTTAGCAGCAGGTCAGTTCTCTGGAAGGTCAATGAACCCTGCATTGGCCCTGGGGTCTGCTGTCATTGCTTGTCACTTAAAAAACCAAGCAATTTACTGGGTTGGACCCCTCATTGGAGCCGCAGTTGCTGGGCTTCTATATGACATTGTTGTGTTCCTAGGTGAAGCATCAATTTCTAGAACTGGGGTTTAACCCTTTTTCCTCCTGTGCTAATTTGTTTTTTTAATTCTCTTTTAGGCCAGCAAGTTCCGTTGGGATTGGGCTTAAAGTCAACCATTTAAGACTTGGATTCAATCTATATCGTTTCGTTTCTTTTCTGGCTTTAAGATTGATTATGGGAAATTTCTTTTGACACAATAAATAAGCTGTGATAAGCCTTCTGACTTGCGAGTTGGGTGAGAAGCCAAGAGTTAACTTATACCCCATATAAGCAAATCATTCCATTGCCATTGAAAAGCAGAACTAGAGAACAAGAATGAAAAGAAAAGGCCTCATGAAACTATGCCTAATTACCAAGAAAAGTATCTCTCTCTTACTCTCTTTCTAGTTTTTTTGGTATTGTTTTCTTCCTGGCATGGCAATTCTACCCAAGTAGAGAAACTGAGGCCTTGCTCAAATGGGAAGAAAGCCTTGGAAATCAGTCTATTCTCCAGTCATGGGTCACTCCAACTCCTGCCAACGATACTACTCAGAGTCCATGCAAATGGCGTGGAATAACCTGCAACAATCCAGGAAACATAATTGAAATAAATCTTGCAAACACAGGTCTGAGAGGTACCATTGAAAACTTAGATTTTTCTTCCTTTCCACACCACCTCGGCTTGATCGTAAAGTAAACCAGCTCACAGGATAAATACCTTTCAACATTGGTTTGCTTTCAAAACTCCAGTTCCTTGATTTTTCCACAAATTCTTTTAACAGCCAGCTTCCTATCTCTCTTGCCAATCTCATTCAAGTTTATGAGCTTGATATTTCACGAAACAACATAACGGGTGAATTGTACCCGTCTTTATTCCCCGATGGAACTAGTTGATCGAAAACTGGCCTCATTTGTCTCAAATTTTCTCCTTCTAGATACTTTAATAAGTGGCAGAATTTCTAATGAGATGGGGAATTTGAAACATCTTTCTTTGCTAGCTCTAGATGGGAGTCATTTCTATGGTCCTATCCTTCCATTTTTTAGGTAATTTAGTTTAACTGTTCTATAGCTTTCCAGTCTTCAACTTTCAGTAAACATTCCTGTTAGTTTTGGAACTTTAGGCAAGTTAACTGTTCTGTATTTGCACATAAACCACTTAGCTGGTCTTGTACCGGATGAGTTGGGAAATCTTTCATCATTAGTAGTTCTACATCTGGCTGTCAACAACTTTAGTGGTAACTTACCATCACAAGTTTGTGGAGGTGGAAAGCTTGTCAATTTCAGTGCCTCCTTCAGTAACTTCTCAGGTCCCATCCCGAAGAGCCCGAAGAATTGCAAGACCTTGTACAGAGTTCAGCTTGAATATAATTAACTTACAAGAAACATTGCCCAAGATTTTGGTGTGTACCCAAACCTCACATATAATGACTTGAGTTACAACAAACGGAGTGGTGAGCTCTCATCAAATTAGGGAGAATGTCGGAATTTAAGAAAGCTGCTAGTAATATGATAGGAGGTACATGTTGGGAAATCAACATGGACACATAGCACATACACACAAAATAGCAAGCTCAAATCAAGAATAATAACACACAAATATATTTGTTTCGGTCCAACTCTAGATGGCCTACTCCAAATCTAATTTACTAACAAATAAATCTTTACAACTATGAGACTTTTGAAATGAGAAAAGTCATAAAAAACTCCTTACTTAAAACTTAACCCAAAACCCAATTATACCCTTTTAATAGCCTACTCACCTAGCTATTCTTTTGATATCTAACTATTTGGGATTACCAAACGAAAACTAAAACATCTTATTTATAAGGGTGAAACCCCTTATACCTTTACTAAACTCCCGATGTGGGATATAAAACAAACTCAAACTCACTTAACTTTCGATGTGAGATTATGAAATTCAAGGCAAATCCCAACAAATTCTCCCTTGACTTGAATCTCCAAACATTTCAATAGTATCTACAAAGCTGATATGCTTGCTTGCCCTTCTTCTTTTTCTTCATTGCAGGAATCTCAACAATTGAGCCTCCACCAAGCATGTACAAGTGATTTTTGATCGTATTCCCTTGTAGAATCACACAACCATTCTTGTACACTTTTAACCAATCATTACTACCATATGTGTACCCCTAAGAAGCTAACTCACCCAAAGCAATTAAATTGTAGTTACAACTTGGTACATACTTTACAGGATAAAGAATCCTAACAATACCTTTGTGAGATCAAAGGCAAACACTCCCAATGCCTTGAATCTACACGTTTTTATTATTGGCAACCATAGTATCTGCATGCTTCTCATCTATTCTAACTCCACCAAGAAACTCTTATCATTGCAAACATGAAATGTACCAGCTGAATCCAAAACCTAACCTTTATCATCTTTCAAAGTCTGAATCTCATCTATACAAGTTGTTAAAATAACATCATTATCATCAGACACAACAACAGCAGTATCACTTTTTCTTTCATTCGATTTTTTTCATCATTAGCCTTTTTGAAAATAGTCATATTCTTTCTCAACTTCTTACAATGCACTTGGATATATCCTTTTTCACCACAATAATAACATTCTATGTCATTATAATATTTGTCTCTTGACTTGGATCTCCTTTTTTATCCATTAATCTTCTTTTGAGTCCTCCTTCGATCAAAACTCTTTACAGTTAATGTACTCTTTCCTATTTGTGTTCCCATAAACCTTTCGTTCTTATGCAACAGAGTAGTCACATTTATCCAACTTCAAAGTAGATCTACCCACTGTCATAACGTATAGATCTGAGGGATCTATTGCTAGATATTGGCTTTAGGAGTCGCTACCAATCTTTTTTGTTTAGGTGTGATTAGGCCACCTAAGGAATCTATCCTCTTAAGAAGCACCTAAGCTTGACTAAGAGTCTTTAAAAAATAGGTTCGGGTTTATTAACCAGAACAGGGTTCAGGAGTTCGGTTATGAGTGAGGAAGGTTATAGCACCTTCACAATGCCCATCGAAAGATAGTACCAGCTCAAATTCATGTTATCCAATAAGCCTAAAAAAATTTACCAAGCAATTAATTATTGAAAATTATTCTTAATTGACTCCAATATTTTTGGCAGAAAAACAAGAAAATTTCTTCACCTCAAGAGTATACAAGAAAACTACTATTTCACTTGCATAAGCTCCATCGTTGGATTATTTGACATTAAAAAAAATTCAAGAAAAGAAAGAAAAAAAGAATAAAATAAAAAAAAGAATAATGATTCAACTTTTGATATAAATTCTTTTCTTTTCATAAAAAAAAAAAAAAAAACTCATTGCTTTTATACAAGAAAAATTGATACTTTCAACTTTTCCTTAAAATACTTTTCTTGATAATTTTATTTTTAAGAAAAATTGATAGTTCCAACTTTTCCTCAAAATGTATTTTTTTTGAAATTTTAATCTCAAGAAAAATTGATACTTTCAACTTTTTCTCAAAATATTTTTTTTAAGTTTTAATTTCAAGGAAATTTGATATTTTCAACTTTTCCTTAAAATACCTTTCTTGATAATTTTTATTTTAAAAATTTTATTTTTAAGGGAAATTGATACTTTCAACTTTTCCTTAAAATGTTTCTTTTTTATAATTTTTATTTTTAAGAAAAATTGGTACTTCTAACTTTTTCTCAAAAATATTTCTTTTTGAAAAATTTTTATTATTTTATTTTATTTTATTTTTATTAAATGAAAACATGCAAAAAAAAAAAACTCCTAAAAATAAATAACACATAAAAAAATAAATAAAATATAAAAAATGAACGGCTCGACTCGACTCCAGACACAAAGAATGGTTCGAGAGATGCGACTTGACGGTTCGGTTCGGCTTAGGTCGCCTACTCGAAAACATACGGATCTTAGTCCCTTCTTAATAGTGTATCATGGATTAGTGTTTGAAGAGTATTTTGTTAGCCTTGGAATTAATATCCACGAACATGCTAATCCTCTGGCAATATCATCTGACGAAAATCCAGCTCATAGAGAAAGTGCACATGGTCCTGGATCTGGAAGCACCGTTATTTGCTGGTGACTTATGGCAAGATGTGAAATGTTCTGAAATTTGAGTTACAACTCAAATCTAACTTAGGCCCACCTAAGCTAAAAAGTGGGCTTGGAGTTCTCGGCTTCAAATTGTGGGGTCTTGAGTCTGCCTCAAGTTACACTCAAAATTTGAGTTTTTTGAACTTAGACTAGATCTTCAAGTTCTAAAACATTTTTACAAGATCCTTCCCCTTTCTTTATTCTTTATTGCAAAAGGATAAAGCCCAACATCTTATTTCAGCAACACAGCTCTCAATTTAGTTTTTGTCTCTTTCTTTTTGCCGACAAGTTGCTATTTCCCTTTCTATTTTCTCCGCAAATGCAAGCACAAAGACCATTCTGTCACTTCTCGAAATTCCTAATCCTAGCTACTCGGACCATTGAAAAACTCCTCCAATCCTTTCCCTTTCCTTTGCCGTTTAAAAGAATTCCAAAAGGTGCCTAACTAAAAGTGAATCCCAAACCGAAAACCCACTGCTAGAAGAAAATCTTTTGTTTTCGTCTTTCAGTTGTTGTCAATTGTTGATTCTATCTCTATGGCTATTTTTGATGCGTGACTCTGCCCTAGAAAGTAGCGGGTATGAACTCAGGAATCCCCTTCCTTGCTTTGTCGATCACCATATTCCCAAGGTATGTTCTTTTTCTTGTTTCTGACTTTTCCTCACCCGATTGAAGACCCAAAACCTTCTGAATGAGAGCAAACGAAGCCCAAAAAAATTGCTTCCTTGTTTCTGACTTTGCTTTATTGTTTTCTTTACCTTGTTAGCTTTCATTGTCAGCAGTGAACGACCTTTTGGCAGTAGATAGGTGATGAAGCTGGATTCCTTTTGGGCTTCTGGGTGGTGGTCGTAGTTACAGTAGCTTCTGGGTTGTGGGGCTGTTACTGTTAGGCTAGTGAATTCCCTAATTATTGGTCGGGATTGATTTTAAGACCCTAGTTGAGTATGCTGGGTGCTGCTTTGGTTCTACTTTGGTGGGTTTGCAGTTAGCGGAGTGATTTTGCCTAGCTTTTGATTTTTGGTTCCCTCAAATTTTTTATGTACTTGCTATGTGTTTCGAACTGCTGGGTATTTGGTGAATTATTGGTTATGGTAGAGCCTAGCGGAATTGGTGGTGGCCTTGGATCGATTGATGGTGACAGTGTGACGTGAAAAATAGTTTTCAACTTGGCAATGGTGTTGGCTTTTGGATGTTTGCTTGTGATCTCGTGTGAAAGTTTTTTTTTCTTTTTTTTTGCAGCTGGATGAAAATTAGGCACCCAGAACTTGTATCCGGGGCTGAAATTAGATTGGTTTTGAGGTTCTGTTTGGGACTTGGTTTTAGGGTCGGTATTGTGGATGTTGGTGGTGATGGTTGATAACTATGGAAATTTGGCTGACTAATGTTGGTAGGGGTGAATTGGTGAAGACAGTGATCAAGAATTGTGGTGACTCGATCACTTGCCCCCTTCTCTTTGTGTTTTTGTCCCTATATATATAATGAAAATCCAGAAGAATTTCCACTTATCCGTGACTTCCTCTTCAACCTTTATCTTGTAGAGATCAAGTCCTTCCACCATTCTGCCACTCCAACCACGGTCAAATTTATTATCTCCTAAAAAAACTACTGATAAATTCAATAAATAAGTAGATAAATCAACAAAAAAAATTAAAGATAAATAAGAAACCAAAAAATAATAAAATAAAATAAAAATGAAAATGAAAGAAAAGAAAGAAAGAAAAAATGGCTAATTGGGTCTAATACCCTGGCCCTATTAAGCTAAGTCCAATTAGTTTGGACTTAGGCCTGGATCTTGTTGGATCAGACCCAATAAGCTTAAGTCCAAATTAATTAGAGTGTTTACACCCACCAACAAAGTTTAAACTAAAAGTTTATAGGACTTATGTAAAGATGATAACAAAATTAAAACTTTTTTTTATCTTTTAACTCATCAGCATAAATAGTCAGAAATTGAGAAATCAATTTATTAAACTTATTCAGGTGATTATGAAGATTCGTACATTCTTTTATTTTCAGAGAATATAGATTCATCTTCAAACATAATCGGTTAGTCAATGACTTCGATGCATAAATACTCTTAAGCTTTTTTCACAAACTTTTTCAAGTACTCTCAATTAACATAGTATACTTTACCTCTGGGGCTAGTGCTAATCTAATAGTACTAATAATTTTTTTTTGAATTTCATTCCAATTACAGTCGGACATTCCTTCAGGCTTACTATTTTCTAATGCTTCATCTAACTCTTGTTGTACTAACATATCTTGAATCGTATTTTGTCATAACATGAAATTACTCTTTCCATCAAATAATAAAATTTCAAACATGGGCATAAGCATACTAAACATACATTCTTTAGACATTTTGAAATACTTGTTTCACAATCTTTTGAGCCTACCTCTTCTTCCTACAAACCTTAAACCTCACTCTGATATCACTTATTGGAGATCATCACAGCTTTGATAACACTTGTTAGGAAATCAACATGCATACGCAGTACCCACATACAAAATAGTAAGCTCAAATCAAGAATAAGAACACACAAATATATTTGTTTCAGTTTAATTCAAAATGGTATACTCTAAACCTAATCCATTAACAAATAAATCTTTATAATTATGAGACTTTTGGAATGAAAAAAGTCACTAAAAACTCTTTACTCAAAACTTAACTTAAAACCCAATTATACCCTTTTAATAGCTTACTCATCTAGCTATTCTCTTGGTGTCTAACTATTTAGGATTACTAAATGAAAACCCAAACATCTTATTTATAAGGGTAAAACTCCTTATGCTTTTACTAAACTCTTGATATGAGATATAAAACAAACTTAAACTCACTTAACTCTTGGTGTGAGATTATGAGATTCAAGATAAATCCTAATAGTATGATCCGAAATGAAATTAATCAGTTGAACCAATTAGTGGAGCTTGACCTTTCTTCCAATCAACTTTCAACAATCATTCCTTCACAAGTTGGAAAATTATCGAAATTGTTTTCCTTAAGCCTGGATGATAACAAGCTTTCAGGTCAAAAACTTGCAAGAATTGGAAGACTATCAAATTTGCAATCTCTAGATCTCTAGACAAATAGACTCAGCGGGCCAATTCCACATGAATTAGGGGACTATTCCAAGCTACAAAATTTATGTTTGAATGAAAACCGCTTGAATGGCACAATTTCATATCAAATTGGTAATCTTGAGCCTTACAAGATTTACAAGATTTTAGTTATAATTCACTTTATGAAGAGATACCATGACAATTTAGGAAGCTTACAAATTTGGAAAACTTAAACCTATCCCACAACAATCTTTTTGGTGAAATTCTTTCTTCGCTTAGCAATCTTTGGAGCTTGGTGTTTGTTAATCTTTCATACAACAACTTAGAGGGTCCTTTTTCGAACAACAACTTCTTTCAATTAGCTCAATAAGAGGTTTTTAGAAACAACAAAGATTTATGCAATGAAAGACAAGTTTTAAAACCCTGTAGTGCCACATCTACAAAGAAGAACAGTGGAAGTGATAAGAACAAGATTTTTGTTATTGTTGTTGCATCTTTGGCAAGTACATCAATCTTTGTAATGGTTTGTATATGGATTTTAGCATTTCTTCATCAGAGATTATTAAATCAGTCCAAACTTGAAGGCATACCGATAAGAGAAAATATTTTCTCAACCTGGTAGTTTAAAGGGAAATTCATGTACAAAGACATCCTTGAAGCTACAAATTGTTAGAAAATTTTAGAAAATAGAAATAAAAAGAAAGAAGAAAATATGACTTTGAGGCATGAAGAACGCTATTTTAAAGGCAATTATGCCTATAAGATACAACAAAGTCTTAAAAACTCTCTAAATCAGAAATAGTGAAATTGGTCAGGCAAAAAGATTTATTTTTAATAAATAAACAATCACCAATTAAACCAATTCAAAAAAATCATGACATTCCGTATAGTTATGTTTTCTTGTTTAAATAAATTTTATTTAAATAGTTATATTTTTTTATTCAGATATGTTTACTCGGACCATCATGTTTTTCTCTATTCAAATATGTTTATTCATAATTGTAATATTTCAAAATAAATAAAAAAATTTAAAAGATTTAAAAATTAAATCTATTTGCCAAAGTGTCCAAGTGCCTATCATTGACTTTTAAGATTGTTTGATCTACTAGGAAAACTTTTAGCAAGCCTAAATTACTTAACCCACTCCAATACTTAAAAGAGATTACTTATGCTCCAATACTTAAAAGAGATTACTTATGCTTAACTCAATTACTTAAATAGCATAAGTAATCTCTTTTAAACCACATATAAATGATCTTTTTACTCAATGTGGGACACACCACATTCTAAATTACCAACACAAAGAACTTTGATGAGACATGTTGCATAACAGTGGGAGGATTTGGAGAAGTTTACAAAGCTGAAATGGCAAATGGTCAAGCATTTGCTGTTAAAAAGTTAAGGTTTCATGGTGACATAGAGATGGAGGAGGTGAAAAGTTTCAAGAATGAGATTGCAGCCCTGACAAAGATAAGGCATCAAAACATTGTAAAGCTCTATGGATTTTGTTCTCAAAGTAGACATTTATTTTTGGTGTATGAGTTCATGGAAAGGGGAATCCTGGCTAAGATCTTGAGCAATGACATAGGAGCAAAGGAATTAGATTGGACGAGAAGGATTGGAGTTATTAAAGGGGTAGCTCATGCTCCATCGTATATGCATCATGATTGTGTTCCACCTAAAATTCATCGAGACATATCGAGAAAGAATGTCTTATTGAGCTCTGAACTCGAGGCCCGTGTATCAGATTTTGGCACTGCAAGGTTGTTGAATCCTAATTCATCCAACTGGATTGCAGTTGCAAGAACTTATGGCTTTGTTGCTCTAGGTAACCTGCATATGCACTCTCTCTTTCTCTCTTAATCTCTCCGCACTTGAGTATTCATGATCTAAGAATCCTGAGCCATATATCACTTAATCCTTAGCTGATTTCAGAAAATCCATTGTTAAAACTTCCATGCTCATAATAGTAGTAATTTTTTCAATACTCTCAAACGAATTTTTATATGGCAATGAACTGTTCTTAATTTCCAGTTTTGGCTTGAAAGCAAAAAAGGCAAAACAAGAGCATCAATATAACTTAGGGGACCATTTAGTTATATCTATATTTATTGCAAAACAAGGATGAAAATTTCCATCATCAATCAAAGAATGTTTGTTGCTGCAGAGCTTGCTTACTCCATGGCAGTCACTGAACAATGGATGTATATAGCTATGGTGTTTTGGCAATTGGCACTTGAAGTTCTGATGGCACTTAAGCTTTAAACAAGTGAATAACACTTCCTCATCAGACGAACATTAGTCCGATGATTCCTAAGTGGATGGCGGCAATACAAAATTATTTTTCCTTTTAAATTGGCTTATTTTGCTTTTTTTGTTGTTTCCTCCAAGTGTTACATTTATATGGAAATCCTTGATTGTATCAACAATTTAGCCTAATTGGTTGGCAATTGGGCTATGTGCTTCAAACGGGTTGAACATTTTTTTTTACATTTTTAATTCCACATCAAGGTGGGAAAAAGATAAAAAAAAAAAAAAAAAGAAACTTTGGAATTGATGAATCAAAAAGGAAATGATATATAAAGCAATGCGGCATCATAAAATTAACCTTTTCCAAAAAAAAAAAAAAGTGATAATTGGATTATTTATTGATTTGGGTCCAATAGACTATATTTTGTTTCTCCTTTTTTTTTTTTTTTTTTTTTTTATGAAAGAAAAAAGAGAATTCCATTTTGTTTTTGTCGACTAAGAACTTTGGTTGGTTGGTTGGTTAATTTGCAAGAACTTCATTCTGGTTGGTGTTGCAAGTTAATTTCGTAACTTGGGTAGACCTTGGAAGCTTCGAAGGGATCCCACATTTCTGGAGATAACGTATCTTGTGGGTATGCAGAGTGAGGTGAGGTCTGTGGAAGTTGCCCAAACCCAAAGCATACGGACCTCCAACCCCAAATAAACTGCTAAACTTGGACTATATGAATTTGGAAATTTGACAGAAGTTTAAATTGTTTGACCATCTACATCTGCAAATAATATATAACGCATCTTGTGGGGGTGCAAAGTGATTGAGGTCTGTGGAAGTTGCCTAAACCCAAAACCGAGGGACCTATAACCCCAAATAAACTGCTAAACTTGGACTATATGAATTTAGCTATTCAACAAAAAGTTTAAATTGGTTGATCATTTACATTTGTATTGAGTTTGAGTGGTCCACATTCGTGATTTTTGTCAAACGATAGAGCACAATTGAAGCTCATGGTGGATTAAAAATGTAACCTCCTAATCTTATATCGGGATACTTTGAAAATCTACTATGATATATATGTAGAGATAATTTTTATGAGATAAAATTGTGAGACTTTCAGTTAAAGCTGACAATACTTTATAAATTGAGAGTGGGTCTCCATATAGTGTATCATGATTTTGAGTAATTTGACAATTTGTATATTTATATCATATAAAATATTAAAATTTATGTATTTATTCATATTTTATATGAAAATTATTTGTCACAATTTGTGTCAAAAATTTTTTTGAATTTTTTTAAATTTATATATAATTATTATTAAAATTTTAAACCGTATTACTTATATATATATATATTTTCATATCATATTCATATTTTATATTGTAAGTTTTCTTGCTAATCTTTGAGCTAACTAGATATTATTTATAAAATTCTCAAAACATTGATATTCAGTCGAGACAAAATTAATCGAGTAACAAAGGTTATAAGAACGTTATTTGTAGTTTCACAAAAAAATCCAATTATACGCGTTTTTGTTATTGAATTTTGATTGTTAAAACAGAAGGTTTATTACCATATCAACATAACGCTATAGAATATTAGCATCTAGTTTACGAGTTAAACATGGATTAAGTTCCACAAGTTGAAGTTTTAGTGGTCCACATTCCTGATTTTTGACAAGGAGGGAGCAAAAGTCAGCAATTCAGACCTGCGTATTATGACTCTCAACCTCCCATTCCCGCTAACGGCCGACCTTTTCAAGTAGCTAGCGACGTCCACTGTCAAGGGACGACAGCGTCATCTCCCGTCTCACGAACAAATTGTACGTGACGAAGAATTGTGTTCAAAGTTGGAAAATATACATATCTACGTTTTTTAAGAGCGGTCTTCCAAGTCTAGTTGTTCCGCTGGCCCACAATCTAAATTTGGTGGGAAAATTGGACAAAAACTTGGTCGGCATCGGATGGATGGGTATGGGCCTATATATACTCTGCGGTTTCACCTTCTTTCCTCTACCAACAAATAAAATGGGTTCTAAGAAGCTTATATTACTCTTCGCCCAGGTTCTCTTGGTTTTTAGTATTCTCCTTCTAGGCTCTGCCATGGCGTCAAGGAAACTCATAATGATCCAACCTCGTAAGGATTATAGCCTGGCCTAGCTTCTTGAGTATTTACTTCATTTCATGGCCTAGAATTTTATTATTATATATAGGTAGTCTGAGATATCATAATAATATGTTTAATTGTGCTATGTCTATATGCATCAACTACTTTTTCTTTCTGTGCTAAGTAATCACACAAAACATGCTCATTAATTCAAGCGACTGATTAAATATTACTTACCATATATAAACAAGAAAGAAAAATGGGAAATTAGTTTTACAGCCCTCAGTGGCTTTCCCAACTATATAATATGTATATATATATATAGTACTTTTTTAATTAAATTTAGGTATTTACTATATATATTTTTGTTGGAGGTTAAATTTTAGAAGGATATCCCATTAAAATAAATTGATAATAGATGAAGTGACTTTAGTTATATTTATGTGCTCAAAATATTTTAATTTAATTGATGTAAGATTTCTTTTGTTATCAATTCAATAGAGGGAATTCAAATTAATCAGCTGATAATTAATTGACAATTTTTTTTTTTAATTTGTTGGTGCTGATCTTACAGCGACGAATCCTTATGATAAGCCCGGGGGGCACGGTTACTGGCGTCATCCAGAAGAAAATGGTCCATAACCTGCGGATGAATATGGTTTAAAATATAAGTGTAATAAAACAATGGAGAGCTGAGGCTGAGGCTGAGCCACTTCAATTAATTTCAACATCTAGCTTCTTTGGTTCAGTTATTGAGTTGCTGTAATAATTTGGTAGCAATTACTGCAGTAATATTGAAAGTAGAAGTTTTTGTGTACTAACATACAACCTAGCGATTCCATTAAAAAAAAAAACACGATTTTTGGGTAATGCTATGAATAAAGTAAAGCGATTTTTGAGTTTCTTTTATAAATGCAATTTGAATGATAATGTCAGGAACTTGCTCCAAGTTTTGAATTGGTCCATCACCCCCCCAAAAAAAAAACGATATAGAATAAGTGCAGTACAGGCTTTGCCAGAAGGGGAAGTTGAGAATTTGGTTAACCTGCAATAGATTTGTGGTAGGGAAGACAATGTTCTCCAGTAATCCATTCCAGCCAAAATTAGATCGCATAAAGTTGATCACTAGCTTTATCCCCGGAGTTGCTTTCAGCATCCATAATATCTCATTCCTTCTTCCCAGCTCTGAACAGATCATCATGAAAAGGAAAAAAAAAAAAAGAATAGGCTTAACTTCATATAAAAACAGCTCAAACAGAAGATGGCAAATTTAGGCCTATTCCATGACAAAAATAATGCACACACACCCACAAACAAACAACCATGCATAAAAAATCTTTTGAGGCCAAGTAAAAAGGTAACTACATTTCTACTTGTCCTAAATTCAGGCAGGTGCCAGAGGACAATTAGATTCTCTATCTCCTTCCTCTTCTCTTATTCTCTTTTACTTTTTCTTTTTTTTGCTCAGACTCATATCTTCTTACTCTATATCTATTCAGACTTAACTGAAACAATATTCCAGTTTAGCACAAAATTTTTATTTTTATTTTTATTTTTATTTTTTGGCCAAAAACAAATTTTTTATATTTAGATATCCTTTAAAATGCGTTATCTTTTACTTGTATATGCTTCACCAAATTTCAAAATTATTTAAGGCGACATTCATACCTGTGATTGCATGTAACCTATTTTTCATTGGACACGGAGGAAATGCCTTGCTCAATACACTAGAGAAAGCATTATCAAGAAGAGAGTATGTATATCAGCACATCAGTTTATGCTGATCAAGTTGAAAGGCAACTAGTTTTGATATTTTGCAAGATCATATCAAGATACTGTATGACAGGCTAGGGTAGTAGCTTTGGAAGAAAAGTAAATATGAAATACAAAATGGGGATACAAAGATTTAGTTGACATATTAAATTATTGAAATTTGGAAGTTCAAAAGCTTGAATTTCCCCACCCCCACCAACAAAGTCTGGTTATGAAAACATTCTAACCCACTCTCCTTGGATAATTATATATATACCACCTTACAAGCAGAGCATTAATATTAGACCCCACAAACTCCTATTAACTAACATCCTACTTCAAACAAAAATGATACCATAACTGAACCACCAACTAATCATACTTCCTATATAGAATAGCAATGAGAGAACAGGACAACCCCAGCAGTGGATTTTTCTAAGCATGCAGCAAAGCAACTTTACCAGGTCCAAGAAACAAGGAAAAGAGAAGAGAAAGAAGTCTTCTAAAAACAGAGAAAATAAAAATAAATATATGGAAAAAAGTCTACACCCTCAAGAATTCAAGTGAATTGAAAGACCCATTCATAGGTTTTCTTTCTTAGCCAATTAGAAAACTCAATATAGACCCTCTTCTTTGTGATCAAATTAGCACAAAGTAGTCCAAAGAAAAAGCCCAACCAGTAAAGCTAATATGCCACCAGCCCACTCCTCTTTCCCACAAAAGATAAATGATCGCATTCCACTCAGACAAATCGCTTAAATAATCATTTAGCTGTCTTTCAGATGACGGTGGTTGATCCTTGGTGTCCGCCTTTGGGTGGGAACAGCTTGCAATGAAAATAACTCATAAATTAGAAGTTTTAGCTGAGACTTACTCTGAACTGTTTCCTTTTCAAATATCTAACTTATTAACAGATTGTACTGTGAAAGTTTATGAATGTTAAACGGTTTTAGGTTTTTCCGTTGCCACAAACTTAAGAGAGCCCTCTTGTCTCAAGTTTTAACTGTACCAAAATTTGTGGCGTATCACTCAACAAATATGATGCGTTTTTCACATGACGAAACTTTGTGCAAAGCCAAAACATTCCCTATATACAAATTTATTGCACAATAGTATCTCGGTGTCATTATAAAGAAGAGAACAACTTTTAATCTACTTTCATGGCTGAAGTGGAGAATCTAGTTGCATGCTTGTCTCATTTTCCAACTAAAAACTCCTTTAAATCTACAGCCAAATGAAACATAATGAAGTACCAATAACTCGTTTGACTGCAACTTCGAAAATCATCCATGTTTCCAGGTTGAAGAAGGTGTCAGATGGCAAGAACAGTTCTGGCTTT